GCATAAAGTAGGCCAACATTGCAGTCCTGGCGCGGAATGCAATCAACGATAGTGACAAGTATTACTTATTGACCTATTTTATACTTTTAATTCAAGTGGATGTGTTTTGGAGGTTGAACGTCTGTTCCCTTTTGAAAAAAGTTTGGCTTCACTCGAACGTGGAGTGAACAGTGATCAGTTCGGTACATGCAGGATAAATTATCTGGACATGTATGCATTTATTGATGTGTTCGATTAGGCTGATGACGGACTGGTAGTGAAATTTCCCACAATCTTGTCAGTAGAGCCCCAGTTTCCGTTGAATTACATAAAATTTATGCTAGTCCAAGCAGGAGTGGACTGCATTTTTGACCTCGCCTGAATTGTTCTCATCAGAGCCCCAGGCGGGAGGCTGAAAATGTGTATTGGGAAGCAAGGCTATGTGAAATTCAATGGAATCGTACGGACTACTGATAGGAATGTGTGGAAATTCAACTGCCAGTCATCATCCCCTTAAATGTCTCTTTTGGATGATCTACTGCTAGTCTTGGAGCCTACTTGTAAACTGAAATGTGGCCGGTGTCTTTGAAAGGGGGAATGTTTTACCGACGAGGTGAGCCGGGCACCTCATGTCTGTTCACGCACCGACCGCATTCAATCAACTGTTGGTCGGGGTGGCGACCAATTAACTGCTTTTGCCTGAGAAGACGGGGGCTACCAGATCGGTGGTGGTGGTGGTGGTGGTGTGTTTGGTGTAAAAAGTGCCAGTCTAAAACTGTAGACGAGTGTCTCTCGGACTGTCCGGCCTCATTTGTGCAAACGATGCACTTTTTGTACATGTAATCATTCATAAACACACACACACATACACACACACAGACAACGACATGCGTAGTGAGGCGACAATGAATCAAAGCCTAAACGTCTGAACTTCGGTGCCCGGCCACGTTGGGAGCTGTTCCACGGTGTCGAGGAGCCGCAGTCCGAGCCCCGGTCACGACGAGCTGCGCCGCAAGGTGACGGATGAGTTATTGGCCGACCTGGGGTTGAGCAATCGGGGTGCGCCTCGGTGGCCGGCTGGCGCTAAAGTATGATGAATTAATTATGTGGAAAAGTGGCTTTCGGGGCATTGTTTGATGCAGTGATGTTGACGACTTAATTGCCGGATCGGGTGGACGATTGGTCGGTCGTGGCGTCAGAGAGGGTCATTTCACTTTGTCCAAAAGCCTGTCAGACTCGCAGCAAATTCGCCCAGGCAAGCGGAGGCTGGGCCGAGGGGCGGGGCGGTTGGGCGACATGCGAGCAGGTCGCCCAACCTCGCCTCGACCTGCTCGCCCCCCTCTGCAGCCCCACGCCCCCAGACCGGACTCGAGCCATGCACCTCTGGGCGCGTCTACACCGCCTCTCTCGCTCTCTCACAGTCCCCGAACCGTGCGGGAGACACGTGCCGATGACTGGCCGCGCCTCGGCGGACCACCGGTACCACCATCTCCTCCGCTTCTCCGACCCACCCGCCCACGCTTCTTCTGCCCTCCTGTACCGCCTGGACCAACAATCGCACAACAAAGCCATCACGACCCTCCTTCCTGATCTGGTCACGAACTGTCGAACGGGCCATTAACTTTGCCGGTTTGACTGCCAACTTGGCTGTCAGTTGGCCCGCTTTGAAGACGATTCACGGCAACAGACAGGCATTGCTGCACTGTTTTTCGTTTATAAGTAGGCCTTCGAGGCCTCCGGTAGGTCATATGTATGGGATATACTCGTCCTATTTCGTTCAAGGTAGTTGACTTTTCCTACAATGATCGGAGTAGACATAGAGCTTCTGTTGCATTTCACATTGACTTGCTCCCCAAAAGGTATTCGCACCCAGGCAGAAATGAATTGCAGTTTCGACCGCCACCAGGTCTCATCAACACCCCAGTGGGACTCGGACCATGTGCTTAATGAGTCGAGATTATACACTGCAGTGTCTTGGTTCGAGTCCCGCCGGATGTGTTGATAAGGCCTAGGCGAGGTCGAAGCTGCAATCCACTTCAGCCTAGATGAGAATACCTTTTAGTGCATTTTTCGTATATAAGCAGAGTTTCGAGATTTACAATAAGTCAATTATATGAGATGAATTCAGCCTATTTCATTTAAGGTGATGAAGGACTGATGAGTAGAGCTGACATTGACATTAAATTTCCCAAAAGTTGTTCTCATCCCGGCTGGGGTGGACTGCAGTTTCGACCTCGCATCGGTCTTATCAGCACAGCCAGTGCAGAATGGGAGCTTGACGTGTCAACCACTCGGCCACATTGCCATAACAATCGACTGCGTTACTTATTTTCCGTATTAAAGTAGAGTTTCGATACTATCAGTAAATCAGTAATATGAGATGTATTCACCATAGTTAGTCAAGCTAACACGCTGTATTGTCACTGTTCGGCTCCCTCTGGGAGCGTTCATAAGACCAATGCGAGGTCGAGACTGCAGTCAACTGGTTCTTGGATGAGAACAACTTTTGGGAAAGCCAGGCTATGTGAAATCCAATGAAAATATGAGGTCTACTCATATCATTGTGGGGATAATTCAATTACGAAATTAAAAAAAATATTATATTAATTAACCAAGCCTTTCCGTATCCGTCTATATCCTAAACATACACTGTTACACTTTTGGGAAAAGCCTTCGAGTCTCGAAAGCCTACTTATAAACCCAAAATGAGTAACCTAATCGGTTGCTAAAGTAAATACCACTTTCCTTTATCGACAACCCCACCACAGTATGTGATATGGGAAATTGTCTGGCCTGCCTTCAAATTCACACCTACCTTGTCACGCAAGAGCCATTGTGGCAATGTGACGTGGTGGTTAACGTGTCGAGACTATACGCTACACGATCATTTTTCGAGTCTCGCGGGGACTCCATTCCTGCTTGGATCAGAATGCCTTTGGGAAAAGCAAGGTGATGTGAAATTTACTGGATGCAAAGGCCTACTTGTATGCTTGTGGGAAAGTTCAACTGCCAGTCTACTTATCATCATAAAGGAAATAGGATAAATATAACTCATATAATCTAACCAGGCCCTTCTATATCCATCTATATCTAAGAAATACACTGTTACACTTTTGTAAAAAAAGCCTTCGAGTCTCTCACTACTTCGTCAATATGAGCTCATTCAGCCTATTTCGTTTAAGATGATGAAGGAGTGATAGCTGAACTTTCCCACACTTATACAATCAGGCCTTACGTA